CTGCAAAGGAACCTGAGGAAGGAGTATATGTGCAAGGTGCACATGAGCCAGCACTACAAGTGGTGCCTGTAGGGAATGTTGTGATGTGCCACCCAGATCCCCCATCAAGACAGAGACACTGGGCCGCTGGTGGTTGGTGGTTAAGGTGGTTGGATCCCACATGGCCAACTGTGCAGTTTGAGTCCCTGACCCAGCAGCTCGAAAAACATTCCAGATCCATGTGTGTGCATGCCCAAAACCCTGAAAGAAGAATGGAAAAGAAAGGATTGCAACATGACCATCCCCTGAGGGGTACTTTTTCACTTTCTCTTTCTGTCTTCAGTGAGGACATGAGCCCTTAAGCAAAACTAAAAGTAAAAATAATCAAGACTGAAACACTGATTTCCTGGGCCTGGTGGGCACAGTATAATCAACAGTATAATCAACCCACATGGGAAAGGTCCTGGGTTTGTGTTCTGGGACCTCCCGGAGCACACCAGGTGCACACACACTCCTGTGATCTGAGCTGACTGAAACTGGGCATGCATCAAGCATGGCGACCCTGTTGTGGGTACTTGGCTGTCCTCTTTCTCTCCACCTCCGTGTGTGTGTGTGTGTGTGTGTGTGTGTGTGTGTGTGTGTGTCTTTCACGGAGGAAATAGATTAAACTTTTGAAAAAAGCTGATTTATAATTGTCGCTCCTCATGACTGCTCTATGTGTGCCATATATCTTCAGTCTCATTTTATTTTTATAATGTTTTGTTTTACTCATAATAGAGAGCATGTGCATGTGAAAGAGAGAGGAGAGCACACTCAACAGGGTCTCATCACACCACGACCCCTTTTCTCCAGTCCTCCAGCGTAGCAGCATCTTGGACACATGCACACCTGGCATTCACAGATACCTGCCATCTTTACCTGGAAGCTGCCTTCAGAATTTTCCTGGGCTGAAGAGAGTTGCCTCACCGAAGGTCGTAGTCCCTTCCCTGGGCAGCTAACTGCACAACTCGGATGGAAAGGCCCAGCTGCCTCACCACAACCTAGACCAACACGAAAAGGCCATCCCGGCTCAGCTGAGGCCTAGTTGAGCCCATGTCCCAGACATCACAGCCTAACTTCTCCCTCTGCCTGGCCTGCTTCCATTCCTTCCCTGCCGTCACTCTTAATCTTGAGAGCCTAAGTCCTTCATCAACATCACACAGGGCCATAGCCACAGCAGGTGCAGCAGAGCCTGAGAGCACAGTCTGCAGTGTCACAGAGGTACGGATGGAGCACAGTGCCATCTGGACTGCAGTGTCTCTCCCTCTCTGTGCGCAACCTTCTATCCCAATGCGGAGCCCTACAATGTGGTAGGAGCCCTTGGAAGTGACATGGAGGAAGCATTTGATCCAAAGCCCTGGATTTGGAATCAGAACATAGACTGTGAGGAGTCAGGAGGTGGGACATTGGTGATACAACTGGATGCAAGGGCAGGGTCCTTGGTGTGAGTCCCAAGGCCTCCCTGAGCACACCGGGAGCTCACGTGTACTCATTATCTGAGCTGGCTGAGACTGGGGGGGGAAACTCAGAATGGAGACCCTGTTAGGGTGTATCTCTCTGTCTCTCGATCCCTCCAATGGAAGAAATAAATAAATTAAAACAGAGCATGAGATGTGACCTAGGCCTTCCAATTTCCGCTGTCAGTAAAATGTTACTTTTCTTTTCCTGTACATGTCATCCTCAAACCTATAAAATGAGGCCCAGTCTGGGAGCACAGTGGGTCACATTCTGGGCTGCAGAGCTGGAAGCTACATGGCTGACTGCAGGTTCAGATCCCCAGCCTGACTGCCCCAAAGCACACCAGGCATGCATACGTGCGTAGGATCCTGGTGAGCTAAAGGACTGTGACCACAGCGAGACCCTGCTGAGGGCACTTCTCTCTCTCACATGCACACACCTGTGCTCTCTATCACAAACAAAATGATTTGTAATAAAACGAAACTAAGAATAGTAGAATACATAGAACAGTTCACAAGGACTAACCAGAGAATCTATGCAAAACCCAACTCTCCCGTACTCAGTACAGAAAAATTCCTCTATCAATACTTGGTGGGCCCCAATCTGTTTGATGTCTGCTGTGACTATAAATTTGTGGGAAAGGGCACTCAGACATCACACCCTACAAAAGCCAGCCAAACAGAAATTAACTAGAAAACCAGAGAATTGAGTATCATCCTTGTTTTACTTTTTCTCTAACAAAACTCTGAACATGTTTTTCTTTGGTATAAGCCACTTGATCTCGACTCTGTCTCACAGCCTAGACTGCCCTGGGGTTCTGTGGTTTGTGTCATTTGGAACGGGATCTGAGGCCGGGACCTGGCATTTGCTTGAGGTGGACCTTTGAAGGCAGAAATAAGACTTGGCCATCTTGGGCTAAAGGTTCTTCCAGGCCTCAGCCATCCACTAAAGAAGGTACAGCTCTTGTGGGAAGAGCCTGGCTGGGCAGAACAGATCAGCCAGAGTTTTGAGACTGCTTCCTCCTTTCCTTATGATCTGAAACCAAACTATAATATATCCAGAGTGTTGAGAGGCTCTAGGAATTGAATCCAGTCAACACAATGCCCAGGGATGCTGGGATAGCAGGGGTCAGCATAAACCCTACTTAATTAGTAGTTGAGGTCCCTGAGCACAAGCCAGAGACAGGCTGAGAGTCAGTGGGGAATGGCACTATCTCGTACACAAGGATTGAGATTGTGGATTCTGAAACAAGAACGTGAGCGTTCAAATTCTTGTTCTGCTGCTTCTTGGCTGTGTAAATGAGTACAGATTGGCTACCTAAACTAACCCCTCTGTGACTTTGTCTTCCCATCTCTGAAATGGAGATCGAAGCAATGCCTACATCATTGTGTTAAGGTAAAGATGAAGGAACTCCATGAGCCTCTAAAAAGTACCAGGCACTCAGCAACTCCACAAAGATTAGTTATGGCAACTGCTGTTATTATTTTCACCCCAAAAAGTGTCATCGTTTGCTTGCGAGGTACTCGCTGAAGATTTCATTGTCCCAAGTCTGTGCAAGTCCCTAGACATAGAGAAGTGGTCCCTGCATGCCAGACAGATAAACAGCAGGTGTCCACATAGGGTAGTGTTTGTTAGCTTAGAGATTAAAACTTTGGGTAGAAGCGAGAGTTGGAGTGTGAGATGGTAGGTATTTGAGCACCTAACAGATCATCCTAACAAAAAGGGGGGAAAGTGGAGTGATTCTCAATCTCTAGTCTTTGAACTTGGACCTGGGTTTGAAATCCACCACGTGGTTACTGTGTAACTTTGAGTACTTATTAACCTCTCTGAATCTCAATTTTCTGAAGTATAAGGGAAAGATAGTACCTACTTTAACTTTCTGACCTTCAATTTTCTTATCTGCAAATGGAACAAAATAACAGTATATAATTTAGAGGATGCTAATGAAAATTAAAAGAGAAAATGGAGCCAGCCTCAGCACAGCAGTTAAATGCTGTGCATAAAAAAATCTCACATGGTCAATTGCAGTTCTAATCCTGGCCCTGGTGGCTTGTAAAACATGCCAGGAGAATGTGCACATGTGCCCAAAGTCCTGCTGGAATGGAGAAATGGGGGGAAAAGAATTGCATAATGACTATGACCCGCTGGGAGGTTTTCTCTCTCTCATGCATGTGTGTGCACACATACACCCTTCCTTTGACAATCTGGCAATTAAAAAGAGACAGAGAGAAAATAATGTGAAATATCTGGTACATGGCTGGTCTCATCTAAGTATTATAGTAATTTTTCCTCTTACTCTTCTGGGTGATGTCTAAGGACATAGCTAGAACCAATGACTGAAAGTTACAAGGAAAACCCTTTTACCTTAATGAAGATTCAGTCAAATGAATGGCTCAAAAGCTGGGGAAAAAAAAAAAAAGCTGCTTTCTACAGAGAAAGCTCCCACGTTGGAAAGAGGCAGAGTGATATGGAGGAAAGAAAGTCAGCACTGAAGTTGGAGGGTCTTGCTTCCACTGCCTGGCTGTATATCACCTCAAGGAAGTCAGTCCATTTTTCTAAGGCTCCGTCTCCTCATCTGGAAATGGAAGGAACATTTCCACTTCTGTTCCTCACATGATTGTTTGATAGTCAAATGACATAATGGCCAAGGAAATGCTTTGTTAACTGCAAAGGGTCATCTCAAGGAATGGAGTGATGAGGTGTTTAAGTAAAAGCTATGCTGAAAAATGACCTGCTGTCAGGAATATGACAGAAGAAAAGTCAGCCCTGTTGACAACTTGAGCCGCGGGGACCCCAGGGTCTCCCACCTCGGTGACACTGTGCAACGACAGCTTTAGCTCACAGAGACTAGCTCCATCCATCACTACAATTCTTCTGCCAAGATTGCCGATTCTCAGCCTCTTTGATTTCAACACTAATGTATTATTTTTTCCTTCGTGAGCAAGCCCTCATAGAAACCCTGTATTTACCAACTTAAACTCACTTTTTGAAAATTTTCCACCAAGAACTTTGCATTTATCTCCAATCTAATGATAAATTTCTCAAATTCTCAGAATGCTATTGAAGAAACATGATACCCTAATGAAATTATATCAAGATAGAACTTAAATTCCATATGCTATACAGAGAAATTTGGCTGTTTGGGGATCAAACTTCCTAGATTTCAAATTTCAGTTCCACCATTTACTCATTGTGTTATCTTGGATAAATTTACTCTCTGATCCCCAGTTTCCATACCTGTTAAATAGGTATAAAAATGACCATTTTTAAAGTTTGTGATAATTACAGTTGTCAAGTTATGAAAGTTGCGAAGATTATAGACAACTGATAACAAACCGTCTATTATGAACCTGGTTTATAGTAGTGGTCACAAATTCAATTGACCTTTTATTCAAATATATATACGAAAAGTGCACAATTTGCAAGTGAATTACAGTTTAATGATTTTTTTTTGAGAGATTTTTGCTGTAGGGCACATACACTTGCCAGAGAGACAAAGCGAAAAATCACCCTGTAGGGGATATGGTCATGCCACAATCACTTCTCCTCCATTCTCAGGATGTTGGACATGCACACACATGGCCTGGCATGAGTCTTAAGCCATCGATCCGAGACTCAAACCACAGTCAACTATGTGAGAGTCCAGCCACGTAACCATTACACCATCTGCTGGTCCCAGGCTTAGTGAACATTAGAAGGTAGAAGACTTAATGCTAAGTGAAGCAAGTCAGACTATAAAAGACAGACTTTGTATGTCCCTACTCAATGTATACTGATTGTCTGCACTCTGTAACAGAAACTGGAAGTTTGGAGGGAGTAGTAGCAGGGAAAGCAGCCATAGATTCTAGAGATAGTAAGGATAGCAGTAATACAGGTGTGGGTAGAGAAGGGAGGGAGTGAGGGGAAAAGGGAAGGAGAAAAAGTACCTTTCATTGACAAAATAAAAAGCTATTTGCTTAGATAATACATATAGTAATTGCCTTGACTGATATGCATGGTATTTGTGTTAGAAAAAGAAATGTTGTACACTGTAAAGATATATGTAATTAAACATAAATTTAAATTTTAGAAAATGTTAAAGTTTTTAAAAAAGTGAATGTACTGAGGCCAGCAGGTGGCATGGTGGTTAAGGCACTGGACTCCCATATGGCTGACCATGGTTCGAAGCCCAGATCTGATAGTGTGAAAATCACACCAGACACATGTGCATGTGTGCCCAAAATCCCAAAATGAGAACAGAGGAGAAGGGATTACAGCATGGCCATTCATCCTGGAGGGTGATTTTTCACTTTCTCCCTCTGTATTTCTCTGTCTCTCTTCAGTGAACACATGCATCTTATGGTAAAATCTTTTTAAAAAGTGAATGTACTGTGTAAGTGCTGTCAGAATCCAATGATGGGATATTATCAGCATCCAGACCTCTCCCTCACCCGCCTCCAGTTGTTTCCAACCTCTGGAGTAACCAACATCTTAACTCAGTGCACCAGGTTAGCCTTGACTGTTGAATGGAATCATAAAATATATCATCTTTTGAGTCTCTCTTCTCTTGCTCAGCAGTGAATTTGTGAGATATTGTCATAAGTAGGAGTATTCTCAATACATCTTTGTTATTACTTTTCAGTTCATTTTGTGAGTTGTCACCTTGAAACAAAACGGCTATCAGAGAAAACTTCCAAGCAACTAAACTTCTATGACTATACCAAATGATGGCTGCAGTTCAAAAAAACCTCTAGTTTCATATTTCGAATCACAGAATGATTCACTAAGTTGCCCTAGAGCGTAATGCATACAATGTGCTCATCCATTATAATAAATGAAATAATTCAGTCACAGCCAACGGCTTGAATAAAAGACATATATCAGACCCTGAGTGAATTCCAATAAGAAAGACTGAATTATTAGAACAAAGAGAATACACATTAGAATAAGGAGAATGCACATCATCTATGCAAGTAGACAGATAAAGGAGAGAAGCATTCTCTAAAGGCACCACTTAGGAGCGAGCAGGTGTGAAGCACAATGCAAAGAGCGTGAACTTTGACACTGAACAGAACCAGTGTCCAGCCCTCGGTGTACTGCTCATTGACAAGTGGTCTTCAATAAGGCACTTTACGCCTATGAGTCTCGACTTCTTCATCTATACAATGAAAATGATGGTACTTACCTCTTGGGATTGTTTTGAAGATTAAATTAAGTAATCGTGTGAGATTCTTAGTAGATGCTTGTATTAAGACAGGAGGAAGTTGCCACCCACGTTCCTTCCCAGAATAAACTTAAATTTCATGTTTTTAAGTAAGTGGTACAATGAACATGAGAACTCTAAGCATCTCCAGATCCCTGAATTTAGCGCCTGGTACTAGAAATGGCTGTTACTTGGATTCTATCTGTCACAAGGTATATGTGCAGCCATGATTTGCATGGAAACTTACGTTTGGAGGGAATACAATGATACCAATACAGATGCTCCTTGACTTATGATAGGATAAGGAAGTTGAAAATAGCATGAGATTTAAATGCACTTAATACACCTAACCCACTGAACATAATAGTTAAACACAGACTACCTTAAATGTGCTCAGGATACCTACATTAGCTCGCAGTTGGGCAAAGTTATCTAAAATAAAACCTATTCTATAATTAAATGCCAACTATTTTAAGTACTATGTAACGCTAGTCCAGGAAAAGATCAAAATCTGAAGTACTATACATTGAAATTGCAATGGCTTGGCACAATCATAAAGTCAAAAAAATCATAGGTTGAACCATCATTAAGTCTGGGACCATTTATATTTCTTACTGGTTCTTTATGTCATTCACAGTGTGATGTTCACTCAGTTGCTTTACAGAAGATAACAGACATGGATTGTTGTGTCATTTAATCTTTATAAAAATTCTACATAACAGAGTAAAACTGAAAGTCAGAAGGTTAAGGTCATACTATCCACTCATTTAAGATCAAGATTGGGTTCCCATCCATATACTTCCAAACACTGGGCCCCTTCCATTCACCATAGCTTTTACTGGTCCTCACCATCTCCTCTGCCTATTCACTCTTCAGGTACTTTTTCACTCATTCATTTAACCAACCAAACAACAAATAATGGAGACCCCCCCCCTCCATGTACAAGAGTCTCTTCTAGGCACTTGCAGATGATGGCAAAAGACAAGTAAGTGAAGTCTCTGCCCTTGTGAAGCTTATATTGTAGGTGGGAGGGAATTCAAGCCATCTAAATGAGAGTTGGATGACTGGACGGGACTCAGATAAAACATGCAAATGGGGAAATGCAACTCGGATATAGGGTGCCTGTCTGGTAGGGCCTTCCCATAGAGGTGGCATTTGAACAGAAACCTGAAGAATGTCTCTTTAAGTAGTTCCAGCTGACATATCCTCCTTCTCTTCCAGAATAGACTCTTTCGTTTGTTCCTGAAATTGACCCATGAAATATTCTAAGCCACCCCCAGGCCTCCTGTGGGGAACAGTTTTGAAAGCTGGATTTACAGATTAGTAGGAACAGATCCCAGTCTGCCTCCCTGCCAAAGTCCTGTCAGCACTTGCAGATGGTTTTTGCAGATTGCTGCATCTTATCTGTCTGGGCTGGCCCTCTCCACTTGATGGGAGAAGCAGCCTATTGGCGGTGGATGCTTAGGAAGAATTTTCCGAGCAGCATTTACACAGCAAGTGGTCCTTGTGGTTTTCACCCTCAGAGAACCCTTGGCTTATGTTCTTTATCTCCGTGCACCTCTGTCCCAATAGGAAAAAGAGCTACCAGTGATTGAATATCTACTGTGCTCCAAACACTGCATTTTACATGCTTATTTGAAAATGCCTTCAGTTATGACACTCTGACATCACCTTCCTAGATTCGGTGACACAGCTTTGCATGTGGTCAGAAAGATGCTACTGATCTTCCTCTACAGAAGTGTGTTTGTAAAGAGTGGGGGCTTTGATTCATCTCAAACACATTAGAAGCAGCACGCTCACTACTAAACACACAGTGTGATATTAGAAATGGCAGACCCAGACAAGAGGGGAATTATAGTAACTGGTGACAGAGAAATAGTAAGAGGTTTGAAGTCAGATAGACCTGATTCTAAACTGCTTCACCAAAGCAACAGGACTTTTAAGGAATCATTTAACTTCCTTAAGCCTCTCTTGTCCCATCTTAAAAATGATCTTAATAGGGCCAGCTGTGTGGTACAGCAATAATGCGCTGCTCAAGAAAAGCTGGACCCTATATGGTGACCATGGTTTCAATCTCTGTCCTGGTCAGCTTCGAACATGCCAGGCATACTAACATGGCAGGCATGCATGTTATTACCCAAGATCTAATGAGCTAGAAGAGTAGAAGAAGAGGACCATATCATGACCAGACCCTGGAGGGTGCTTACCTCTCTCTCTCCCCACCCCTCTCATATGTATGCTCTATCATGAATAAGGGAAAAAATTAATGTTCTTAATGATAGTTAGGTTTACTATAGTAATGGAAAAGGGTTAGTCTTAGCCAATGTATAGCAGGATAACAGTTGTGTCTAGAAGAGAGAACGACAGACTCAGGTAATACCTTGGAAACTTTACTGTGTTCCACATATCAGTTATTTTTTTGATAATGATGTGATTTTTTCAGCTCATCAAAAAACCATTTTAGGACCAGCAAATGGCGTAATGGCTGTGTCACTGGACTCCATGTAGTTGACCACAGTTCGAGTCCCAGACCCGGTGGCTTAAACTCATGCTGGGCATGTGTGCATGTGTGCCCAAGATTCCAAGAGGAGAATGGGGGAGAAGGGATTGCGGCATGGCCACCCCCACCCGGGGGGGTGATTTCTCGCTTTCTATCTCTCTGTCTCTCTCTCTCTCTTTCTGGCAAGCACATGCACCCTATAGCAATAAACCTTTCCAAAAAAAAAAAAAAATCCATTTCTTAGGGATGAAATAACACTAAGCTCACTAGACTGGTGAGAAACCAAAAATACCAACTTTGAAATAGATAAGAAGGATTAAAATTGTGATATAAATCTCGAGGTCATCTACATTCCCCCACACCCCCACCCCAGGGGACCATGTGAAAAGCTAGATTATAATCAGGAGGTTCAATGGTGAACAGAGAATCAGGACATGGAGGAGGTGAAATGCCCATTTCAAAGCACAGGACAACCTGGCCACTCTTAGAATCTTCTCCTTGGGCACCAGAGCTCATCAGCTTCCTTGAGTCCAATATGCACTTGTGCTCCAAATCGAAGAATATTTTTAAAGAAAACAGCAAATGGAAAAGGTAGAAGACAGGAAAGTTACAAATTAGAATTATTTTTTTATTCCTTTCTCAAATAATAAATTCTGTGTCCTGCCCATGAGACTGGGCGTGTGACCCAAGACAAACAAGTCTTAGAACTTGAACCTCACAACAACAGAGATTGGCATATGGGTGAAGCATCTGAGCAAGACTGATCAAAAGGGGGCTTTGTGAGTCCTTTGAAGGATGTTGGGCTATTGTACTCTGGTGTTTGGGACCTGCCCAGAACACAGGAAAGTCCACATCCCTATGGGTAGGGAAATAGTATCTCCTGAAGAAAAAGAAAGTTTTCATTTCCAAAAAAAAAAAAAAATCCATTTCTTAGGATGAAATAACACTAAGCTCACTAGACTGGTGAGAAACCAAAAATACCAACTTTGAAATAGATAAGAAGGATTAAAATTGTGATATAAATCTCGAGGTCATCTACATTCCCCCACACCCCCACCCCAGGGGACCATGTGAAAAGCTAGATTATAATCAGGAGGTTCAATGGTGAACAGAGAATCAGGACATGGAGGAGGTGAAATGCCCATTTCAAAGCACAGGACAACCTGGCCACTCTTAGAATCTTCTCCTTGGGCACCAGAGCTCATCAGCTTCCTTGAGTCCAATATGCACTTGTGCTCCAAATCGAAGAATATTTTTAAAGAAAACAGCAAATGGAAAAGGTAGAAGACAGGAAAGTTACAAATTAGAATTATTTTTTTATTCCTTTCTCAAATAATAAATTCTGTGTCCTGCCCATGAGACTGGGCGTGTGACCCAAGACAAACAAGTCTTAGAACTTGAACCTCACAACAACAGAGATTGGCATATGGGTGAAGCATCTGAGCAAGACTGATCAAAAGGGGGCTTTGTGAGTCCTTTGAAGGATGTTGGGCTATTGTACTCTGGTGTTTGGGACCTGCCCAGAACACAGGAAAGTCCACATCCCTATGGGTAGGGAAATAGTATCTCCTGAAGAAAAAGAAAGTTTTCATCATCTCTAGAAGAGTGGATCATGAAGCAATAAAGAGGGTGAGAAAGTCAGTCTTCTAGCAGGGAGGATGGAGCCTACGTGCATCCTTGAGTTCCATCTTCAGACCTGCATTGTGGAACTAGATGCACTCAGAGTATTCCTGGGTGGAAGCCAAACAATGGCTTCTGCCACAGACTTTCTGGCACAGCCAACCAATCAGGGCCAGGCAGGAAGACAGATGGACAGAAAAGCCTGGAAAACCCCAAGGGGACAGGCCAGGGCTCGTGCACAGGGAGCAGGTAGAGCTGGTACCTGCTTAGGAGTTACTCTGCAATTCCCTACTCACAACCAAGGCTCACCTGTGCTCTGAGGAAATAAGGAAGATTGTGGCCTCTCCTGAAATGTGGCACAAAGCCTAAGAGCAATCCTGAGGCCAGAGCATCATGATGCTAAAAGGCTCCAAGGGGAGGGATACTTTCCCTCTGCTGTGAAATCTGAGGGCCCACATTAACCTCACCCTTTGTTACCCCCCACACACACAAACTGATTCATCCTCTACTGTCAACCCTGAAGGGCTTGGCCTAATGTTGCAAAGTGCATGGCATTTCTCCTCCACCCATCTCTGGTTGCCTCACTCAGTAATCCTTGGTGCATTTGTGCATTGATTTGCGACTACAGTTGTCTCTTTCTCTGGAAAGTTTGGAGGCTACAGACATGGATGTTTCAGCCCCAAATCAGACAGAATCTGTACGCCTAGAGATGAATCCTGGTATAATCCCATTACACTGGAAAAGGCAAAGTGCTTGTGTAGTAAAAAAAAAAAAAAAAAAAAAAGATGTAGTAAAGAGTGAAATTACTTTCTTAAAATGTCCAAAGGGCCCATCAAATGGAAGAAAGATTGGATGTACTCCATGGCACCCAAAAGGGAAGAAGTAAAACTAGTGGAATGAAGGAACGTAGCTCAGTTTAATGCCAAAAATGTGCAGGTCCTTCTTCTTGATAACAAGGAG